GATGTTTATCTGAGATGAGGTGGATGATTTATTACTTTGCTATGTTTTTGTTACCTTAACAATACGTTACAAATTTCATCTTCATTAATATTGAAATGTTCCGTAGAATGCAAATCCCGAAACCCTAATGATTCATAAAGGTTATTAATTCATGTATAGGATGGAAAAAAAAGTCGCAAACTACAAATTAACTTCTCCCCATAGGACGTCATACACAGTTTTTAACTGTTTCGACGTAAATAAATAAATAGTTTGAAGCCAACCCGCCAACCTTTTGTAAGGTCCCACGCACCTTTGTACGGGGCCTGGATTTCTTCGGGCGGTCCTGGCCGCCAGCAGGTGGCTTCCGTGGGCGGGTGGCGGGCGACGCAACGGCGCGGGGCGGCGCGAGAGAGGGGAAAGAGGGAGATGGGAGAGAGTGGCGTCGCGAGCACGGGACCGTTCGGAGCATCCTGCCGCGGTGGCGCGGACTGGCGGACGTGGAGGAGGAGGAGGAGGGGCAGGCACAAAAGAGAGGCGCTCTATTGTCTCTGCACGCGGAACTGGATCCGGCGTCGGGGGGGGGAGGTGGGCGGGGGGGGGGGAGGGGGGGGAAGAGGAATTTTTGCGGAGACAAATTGCCGGCGTTAAGCGCTGCTCGCGGCGATGACAGCGCCTGCGGAGGCGGCGTGAATGAGGCTACGTGCGTTATTTCGTTGCGGCATCTCGCTACTCTTTGGGTGGAAGTACGCGACATTCAATCAAGGATGATGTCCCGTTGTAGCATCTTTAAGGTGTCAGTTATTGGCGAATTGGAACCACCTACACGAGTTGAATACACATAAAGGAACCACAAGATTCGATGTTGTAGCATAAAAATATTGGAGTAAGAAAAAAGATTGCATTTTAATTATACTCGATGTGTATTTTGTTTCTCTATTTGAAATGGGATATTAATATTATCTGAGATCTGTAAAATGAAACAACATACTTCATTTATTATGAAGTTCGTGAATTCCATTTCATCTTCACATTTTTCAATGTACCACGAAGTATACGGCATTTACTAACACATTTTATATTGGAAACTAAATATTTATTGATTCCATTTCAAGTTACTATCCATTACGTAACGGTGAATACAGAAGTTCTTGGTACTTACAGTATTTTAACCAAGAAATTTATATTAATTAAGGCAAACAGAGACTTTTTCGCATAACCGCGAAACACCGGAAAAAAACCGAAATTAAGCGCCTAAACAATTTTGAACCTCTGAATATAACTCGAACTGCACAGAACAGATGTTATAGAGCAGTAAACGCTAAGGTACTTCAAAGGTGCTGCAAAGTTCTTCGCCAATAATCCCACTGACTATCAAAGGTTGACCAAAACCACATCGAATAACGGACTAAGGAATCTCAGTTTGAAATATTAGGAGCAAGAATTCCCCAGCGTGGTTCTAATCCGCATGTTCCTCCTCCCTCATAAACATCCCATCCCACAATCGCTGGCACCAAAAGATGCCGCTTATCAACAAAGCACCAGATCTTGATTTACTGGACAAGCAGGACGGCAGCGGCGTAGCGTTGCATCGCGAAACGATCCCATGATGCAATTCCGCCGCACAATGGCTAGGCTTTCGCTCCTACTTTCAGAAGCGTGTCGATATATTGTGTTCGCCGTTCCGCTGCGGCTGCGTGACTCTTGCTCACGTGAGTGTTATGCCGCGCTCCGTGGCCCGATGCCCGTGCGCCGGCGTCTTGAGGCTGCGCATGCGCCGTGGCTGCATCTGGGCCCATAACTCGTTTTCGAGTTCGCCTGCACATTCAAGTTACGTCGTAAAAGCGCCTTGAGAATGGAGAAGGTTCAGCATCAGGAATTGGTTTTGTTCGCGGGGTAGCGGCGGTGGCGGTGACTACGGCGGTAGTTGTGGTCGAGGCTTGCATTGTGGTGGGGTGGGGGTGGTTGGGATGTTGGTGATGGTGTGGACGGTATCGGTAGGCGATTGTGTGATGGTCGTGATTGTAGTGTGGCGGTTGTGGGGCTGGTGCGATTGTGGGGCGTGTTGTGTGCGGTGTGGTGTGCTGGTGATTGGTGGAGTTTGTGCTGTGTGATGGAAGTGGAGTCGTGCTGTGATGATGGTGGTGATGGTGGACGATGAGGTGGTGAGGTGGGAGTGCGTGGAGTGTTGGTGGTGATGGTGATGTGGTGGAGGTGTTTGTGATGGTGGAGGTGTTGGTGTGGTGGTGCAGGCGTGGGCGGTTGGCGAGGCAATGAGGTTGGCGGGGGCGGTGGTGGTTACTTGCGGTGAAGGACGTGGCGGCGGTAGCTGCAGCGAAGGCATGGGCGGTGGCGATCGTGCCATGGTGGCAGAGCGACGCGCGCCCTTCGCAGTGTAATTTAGGTTTTTTCGGCCCGCGCACCTCCTCCTTCCTCACTGCGGCTACGCCTGCTCACCGCCTTCCGTTCATTCACCACCGGCCGCGTAACGCAGGGGCGAGGCTTACGAGGGCCGCTATGACGAAGGAAAGCGAGGTTTATTACTGGCTTTTTCGAAAAGAAAGGGGGAACGCATAGAGTTTCTTCCGGGCTTGGATGTTAAATGTCGGGACGACGTCAGGGGAAATTGCTGTCAAGTATCGACGTTTAGACGTCATTATCGTTACAACATATATCAGAGGAATCATTTTAGAAAATTGACAATATCCTGTCTGGATGAATCTGAGATTAAAATCTAGTAATGTTACCCAGAGCCGAGAAGCACATTACCCTGACTACAAACCTAGATGGATATAAATTCGTAAAAAGTATCACATATGGATATAAAATTCAGAAATAACCTGTCTTTACGTTTGCTTCTACGCCGCATCAAGAGATTCATTCACGGTATGCGCCTTATCACTGCAGTAGGTCTATGTAAAGAGTCGTTGGTTTGCAATCAAGAGAGAACAATAAGATTTTATCGCTAATCACGAAGTAATGGTGCACAGGCAAGTATTGTATTCCTCGAGTTGTGTCAGAAGAAAGCATTTGCTAGCAGCGGATCCAAAATGGTGTGGGTGAAATCGGCGAGTTTTTTCGGAAAAGTCAAATTTCAAGCATTTATTAGAGTTCGTAAAGATACCTGTATAAAACTATTATTTGTTAAAGCAATATTTATTTATCATTAACTGCTTTCAACACTAACATCCATTATTAACACAAAAGAATATTTCTCGGAGATTATTTGTGGTTCGATGCATGAGGGGGAGATTTGACATCGCGTAATTCACTCTCCCTCATGGCCCTTGTCCCTCCGCTCCCGCACTGGCAGCGGGTAGGATCAAAGACGCCGGTAGGTGGGCCGGAGCCGTGCAGGGGTTGGCTGGGCGAAGGCGGGCGGGCGGCGGGGGCGGGGCCGGAGCGGTGCGGGCGGAGCGGGGCGGGCGGGCGGGGCGGGGTGAGGCGGGGCGGGGCGGCGCGGGGCGGCGGTGGAGGCAGGGCGGGGCGGGGCGCTCTGCAAAGAGACGAGGCTCAGAGAGCCTGTGCGCAGCGCGGAGGGCGGGGGCGGGGCGGGCGGACGTTCAGAGCGCAGGAGATATAGCCTGCGCAAGGCTGCTTCCCCCTCCCTTTCTTTTTTCTTCCCCCCCCCCTCACCGCCCCCGCCCCCACAGGCAGCACACGCGAACAATGGCCCGGCGCCTTCCGCAGGGCTCTCCACACCTGCGGCCGCACACACACACACACACACGCGTGCGCCCACGCACCACACACGCCAACCCCGTCCCTAGCTCGGCTCGTTCGGTCGGGCTCTGCAAGCCGTGCAAGTTGACGAAGGCTCGGCTACATACCAGCAAATTAACCACAACACGAATCAATAATCCCATTATCCCACAGGCACTATCCAGTAATTCCCAACTTTGATTTATTATCTCTTTTGGTCTCACAATTACGAGAAGCAATGGTCCTTTTAACGAAAAAAAATTCAACTGTATTTACCTACGAGTGTGATTATTTAATAATATACTATTATCGTAACAATACTTCGTGAAAAAAGTAATCATCTGGCTCTTATGATGCAGTGTCAGTAACAACATGTAGGACTTTCTTCAACAGTGTTGATGGAACACATTTCAAACTGTGTTATGAATGTATTTCGAAGTTTGAAACAGAAGATTTCATAAAGCGAATAGCTTCCTGTTCAGATACAATTACCGGTATTTCTAAAACCGAAATAATGATTGTTCAGTCGTAAGAGTTTCATTCTTGTGCTCGGAACACATTAACTTTGCTTCCCTCATTGCAGCAAAGGAGGAGATAATAGGCATTGAACAGAAAGAAAAATGAGTAACATGTAACTTTCAATAAATTAGAACGAGAATTCACTTGGCTTCATGAATTTGCAGTCCTACTTGCCCATACAACTCCATTTCTTCGCAAAAGCAGAAAATATTTTCAAACAATTTACCATTTATACCAATCAATTTTTCGTGTTTTGATGTTCTCCTGAGTTTGGTAACGTAAACATTTAACTGAACAAACTGCATCTAGAAGGAGATGTTAAAAATTGAAACCGCTGTATCTCGGCAGTGAAAATATCTTCACCAGCAGAAATCAAAGCAAACATTTCAAGGCAATTTTGAGCAGGAGGAAACATCATAACACGTGAACCGAAGCGTATATTTTTATTCAAGAAAAGTCAGCGCCTGCCACACATTTCTGAAATATACAATCTATAACCGTACGCAAATATGTCAAACAAGAACGAAAACAAAAGAAGCAGTATAATTTTAAATATTGACTTGTGGATTCCAGCATTAAATGTTCTCCTCAAGAACAGAAGGCAATTATTCTTCCTGTTCTTTAGTGTTCAAGTGAAGAAACATATTAACTTTGTCAACATCTTCATGTGTTTAGGTTTATTTTTTTCGATATTTTTTCACATCTACATGTCTATTGGAAAGTCACATGACATCTGATTTCATCGCTGTTGGTTAATTTCGTTCTCAAATTCATCGACGCGCATTCTTCAAAAAACGGAGTCAGTTTCCTCCAAACATGACAGACATGTTGACGCGTGGGCTGCGCGGCCGTTGCAGAAAGAAGCTCGCGCCGGCGCCCGGGTCCCCGACGCACCCTGTCACCACGCCCCACCCCCCCCCACCCCGAGCTATTAATACGAGCGAAGGGTTGCCCGCCCCGCCAGGCCACGCCCCCGCCGCCTCGCGTTTTCGGGATTCGACAGGCCACCACAGCGCCGCTAAATATACCTCCGTCCTGAGACGTCGAAAGTAAAAGTTGCAGGCCGGAGAGGCGAGCGCATGTGTGGCGGGAGCGTGGAGGGCAGGCAAGCGCCAAGAGGAGCCCCCGCGTCCCGTAGCCATGGGAGCACACGGCGGCGTGGAATACGGGCAAGTTCCAGAAAACTCTATCTTCCAAGTACCAGAAAGTAATATGTTGTAGGGAGTTATACCGTGTAAATAAACTTTAACAATAACAATGAAGGAGTACCTACAGTGATCAGTGTTTACACGATATGAAAGGTAATCGCACCAATGGTATGAAGATCAACGCATCTCCTTTTTCTTCATAAAGAGAAAAAAAATATTTTGTTGTTTAACATTGTGTACTAGATATCTGAGGTACTACGAAATTCAGTATGCAGTTCACATAACATCCACTGTTTACAATTCACAACACCGTTCACTGGGATGATTAATTCTTATTCACGAATCAAATTATTCACGACAGTTGATGAATATAAAAAAACTTTGGGAACAAATTGGATAACATTATTCGACAGCTACAGAGCAAAATTTTGGCACCTTTTGGTAGGCATGGTCTACAGGGTGCGTTCACTAGATGAATCATTCTTATTCACAAATCAACTTATTCACGACAGACGATCAGTATAAAAACACTTTGGGAATAAATTGGATAACTACACATCAAATTTTTGGCACCTTTTGGTTAGATATTGGTTGTGAGTTTATGGATTGTTTGTTTCCTAGAGGGCCACAAACACGGAAATGGGATGGAAGAGGAGGGGCAGAGCGTTCTTCCTTTGGCTCACCATGCAGCAGCTTGAGTCGCGGCGGCGGCGCACCGACTTCCTGGCGGCGGTGGTCGTCGTGGCGTGCGCCGTCCGCCCCTCCGCCGCGCGACTGCTCCGCGTCGCCCCGTCGCCCTTGCGGCTGCGTCGCCCCGCACACCCACCACCGCGACCAAACGTTCCAACCGCGACACGCTGGCTGTCACACTGGCGCGCCACGCTGCTCGCATTGGCCAGACACAGACACCAAAACCCTCGCGGGCACTGCGCCCGGCGGACCACACAACTCACGGACGCCACAACGCGCACAACGCGGCTGCTGGCGCGGCCGTCGGCGGCGGCGGCGGCGGCCAAGCGACCTCGCGGGAAGCGCAGCGGACCTGAGGGCCGCGCGCGGCGGCGTGTGCGGCGGCGGCGGCGCGGGCGGCGCGTGCGGCCGGCGGCCGGCGGCGGCGGCGGCCGCGGCTTTCGTTCGCCGAAACCTCCGAGCGCGCACGAACGCCCCCGAAGCCCCACGCGGCGGCGGCGGCTGGCGCGGCTTGCAAGCAGACGAAGCACCGACGGAACTCGGGAACCTTGTTTTGAGGTGCACGCTGCCGCAGCGCGCGCCCGGCTGCCGGTTGTCCCGGACACGCCGCGGGGGGGGGGTGGGGGGAGGCCGATCGCCCGCGCGGGCCGCCGCCCGCTGCGGAGTGCTCGCGCTGGGCCGAGCCGGGCCGGCCTTCGAGACCTTGGACGGCCCGCCGCCCCCCGCCTCCGCCGGCGCCAACCCTCTCCCGCCTCCACGCACCGCGTCGTCGCTCCCGAAAGCTATCCTCCCAGTAGGGAATCCTACCCAGTAGGCGAGACCTCGAATCCTTCTTATGTAACGGGAAGTTAGCTAGCAAATACAAAGAACACCCGGCTATTTGGAAGAGTTTCGTAGAAAATATGTGCTTCCAAGGTTAGAATATCCTACATTTAGACCGGGTTTATGTATTTGATGATTGACTCAGATGTACGTGATATGTATTGTGGCACTCACAACAGCAAATTGAGAATTTTGTTTCATGATAGTTGACTATCGTGGGGGTTGAACACTCAGGTATTTTGCCACCAGGAGTGACCACGTGAGTTTTGAGTTGCTTCGGTTGTTTTTCCAACTCTTTGCCATCAAGCGCTCTAAGAGAAATTCCAGCATTACGACTCACCATATCCCTTGCGTGCATTTGCGTGCGTTTATTTGAGTTTATCTGCAACATCCCTTTCAACACTATTTCCTTGAATAAATCTTAGATATTTTGTGATAATGTTCTATTCTTGTTGATGTCGTTGCTTGTAAGTTTTACTCACAATCTGCACGTTAATTTCAAACACTATGCGCCTATAATCCTTGTCTTAGAATGTTTCGCTGCATTCTCTGGAATTTCTGGTATGCCCAGTGCCTGCATGGTGTTTAACAGGATTTTTTTTGTAATACATACAAAGGCGCTAATCAAATATACCGATATCATAGATTCCACCACAATCTGCGCAGAGGATTTTGTTTTACGGTAGTCACCTTGAGATGCCAGTAACTCCATGAGCTTATAGGCGGACATTGCACGTTTTCTGTTATACAAACAGGAAGATCTCTGCCGTTCAACAAGGACGACTAGGGGTGGTATTCTAATCTACTACCTTTAAGGCAGGATTCCAATGAATGCATAGAATACTTTGAACAAAGTACATAACTAACCAAAAACTTTTTCGCAAACAGAAATAACACATTCTTTCAGAGAAACAAATGCATTTGCAAATTATGAAGCATTCTTATTGTGTCATAATTGACATTCTTCGATCATGTGACGTAATAAAGAGAGATCAAGTGTATTTATTCAGTAATTATTGATAATTACTCCACTTTTATTTTTATCGGACAGGCTTAGAAAGTAGAAAAACATCTTAAAGATCTAGTCCAGATATAGTGTGTCAGAAGGTACACATTGGAAAACACCATACGCTGCACGCTGCTCAATTATTTCCATACTGGCCTCATTTCCCGTTAGCAAATGCACCTCAGAAACAACGTTAGTCCTGGCTAAATATGTATTGGAAAATGTGATTTAAATTACATTCTATATATATCAACATCAATTTTGATATGTCCTTTAATAGTTCACATGCCAAACCTTGACTTCGGATTTTTAATAAAGCCGTCGCAATGACCTTGGAATTTCGCTGACTCAGAGTACATAGGAAATTTGTTTGAAGAATTTCGTTTCAATAATAAAAAAATACAGTTAAAATATGAAATAGTTGATAACAAAATTATGAGCGTGTTGCGATAATACGTCTCGATTATGATGTAGTTTCTTGTTGTGTAGTAACTCCTGTTTTAAGAAAATTGCTGCGAAAGCCGAAAGTAGCAAACACACTCAAACTTCGTTGTCGAATAATGAAATGTGTGGAGATTATTAAACGCTGGTCAATATCAGACATGCTATTACTGTTAATAGAGACATCGGTGATAAGATACTATGATCAACATTTGTATATCACTTTTTATCAACCAACAAATGATTGCTGAACTTCCAATATGTACTTCTCAAGGTTCTTACAAGAGAAATACAACTTACATTTCCACGTATCAATTGCTTCGCAAATCTTTTTAACCTTCTCACGGATTAAAAAATAACGTCAGTTAGTAACAGATGGCATCACTGAACATGTATAACTATAAATGTGAAGGCTATTAGCATGTAATCCAATCCAGAACACCTGAATAAATTCAGAGATAAGATTGAAGAATATTATGGTAATAACGAAAACAACCCAACCAGTTACGATAGTATATTTCCAAAACAACATTATACTAATGAGAGAAAATGAATAAAATAAACAAGTCAAAAATTAAGAGATGTCGCAATGTTCTGTACATTTACTGTAAAGTTCATCAAAAAGATCAGTAAAATGTTTATAATAATAATTCTTGATCTTGAAACCGTGAAAAATCTGTAATTATATGAATGTTTCGGGTGAATGTTTAATATTTTTAAACTTCTGTAGATGATAGTAACCGAAGTAAGTAATTAATAATAAGTAACTGAAACTTCGTGTGATTCAATCAGGTTCAAAGTACATCATGACATACAATAATTCCGAGCAAAATAAAGCGAATGCAAAGAGGAGAGATGGTGGTTGTTTTGAGAAACCTCTTAATTCGCCCGAGAAGGTCAAAGAAACCACGACGAACATCAGACTGATTGCTTCGCAGCCTGAAGGTGCTTCGTGATCTCTGAAGCCTGAAGGTGCGATTTTAGGTTCTTAGCTTTCCACTCCGTAGACGTGATGTTACCTCGTCACACTTGAAGTAGCGACCAACAAGAAAATGTTAATTTTATTTCAAATAAAATGCAAATTTAGCATTTATACCTTTAATCCGAACGAATCCTAACGAAATAATAAAATTGGAATAATATGTTAAGACATGAAAAAAGAAACATCTGGAGAAACGAGCATTATGAACAGGACAATTAGTTTAACTGTTAGCTGATAAAAATTGTCATGGCTGGATTATAGGATAAGTCATTTTAAACATTCCTTCTTGACAAAAGTGCCAGAGAAGAGAAAATAACATGTTTGAAAACGTAGGTAATGATTGTTATACTATAAGGACAATAGCGGATTGCAAATGGGAAGTGTTTCCGAAATGTTTTTGAATTTTAGATGCATTAACATTGAACAAAAAAGTAAAGAATCGTTACTTTCACCATATATTTTCTCTTACATTGTAGAGAAGTGGAAGGACGTTTGAAAGCGGAGGAAGTAAGTTTGTTTTCGGTCATTTGCTGTATCCATTGTTGTATCAGGTAGCAGCTACCATTCAACCATAATGTAGTAAGATATGAATTTTAATTCTGATTTTAATTTAAAATTTCGTCAATGTAGCACAAAACGATACTACGAGATGTTTTCTTTTGTCCGACAGTTTTGACACGTTAGTAATTCTTTTGTTTTAAGAATAGGTGGACGTCTGAGGGATGAAAATCTGGTGCATCAGATAGGAATAAGTTCAAGTAAGGTAATCTCTCTTGAGCACCACAGTTTGATAGCTTCCGGTTAATAGAAAATCATTTTTTTCTTAACATTTCTGAAATTTTTTTGTTTATCTCTAGCTTACATTTGATTGAAAGTGACGCATAGAATTCCCTTACAAAGATTTTGCCCTTTTCAGCGTAATCGATGGAAAAAAAACATTCGAGCAGAAAACACTGAGGCCATCACCTGAATGGCGGGCGAAAAGTTGTTGGCTCGTTGTGGAGCAGGATTACTTCTCAATATATATTGTTAGGATGTTAGGTTTATTTTTCGGTGTGTGGTAATGAATCTACGTTTACCCAATCTCAGTAGAAACCATTGATATCTTTTCGAACGCTTCCAAACCAACAATTGTTCTTCGCTTTCGATTTCTTCTTTTGTTTCGGAATAGCTCTTTCACGAAGTTGTTCCATATGCAATCCATTGTGCAAATTATTGCAATGTATTTACTCGGTTGAGATACCTGCTGCTAACTTACACTTTTATTAGGTTTATTTTTCCAAAAATAACATAATGAAACAATTTTCTCCATTTTTACTAAAGATATTCAATTCGATTGTCATTAAATTAGCGATAAACTATCAGGTATCAACGTACAGTAGTAGAACAATAGATACTCAAAATTAAATGTTGGATATTCAATTACAGGGTTTGAACAATAATGTGCGGTTTGCGAACCAAGTTACTCATCACAACACCTGTGTAACATCAACATCATCGTATGCAATATGTTAAAAACTCACCAAATTTCGGTACACTCGTAAAAACACTGAGTTATTCTCAAAAGGTTGAAATACCACTCACCTGCAAAAAAAGAAAACAAATATAAGTGAATAATGTTGACATTTATGTAAACCATTTAAGAAGTAAAATTAGATACTAAATTTATAACAAATACTTCTCATAACTTATTATTATGTTTTTACATATAAACATTAACGATGAATCAATATAGCCGGAGAAATCGAAATTTAGAAATGGTTAATAAACATGTTCAAAAATTGAGAGCCAAGTCTAAAAATAATGCTTATCTTTCCTACAGAAATGAATGATAAAGGTAATGTTATGGTTTCAACTACTAAGAATATTATATATTTTAATTAAAATGTTTTAAATATGTATTTTTTTATTTTACTTAAAACGCTGTTGGTATTTTTCAAAATGTACATCGTGAAAGAAGACTTACAACAAGATGTTATTTGTACCGAAAATCACATAAAGCAATACATGAAATTATAACCAATAAGTAAACATATTAAGGAATAGTGAATAGACTAAATTAGTTGGTTATTTTTTTATTTATTTGATATACAATTAACCAAAAGATCGTAAGATTGAAAAGCGCCTACTCAGCAATCAGGAAGTAAATATTAGTCACCTAAACATAGTGATAAAACTATGAGCTAGGTCACTCAATGTTACCAACAAAATCAAATAAAAACAATTTATTTTTAATCAAATATTGAAAACCGCTAATTAATTTTAATATAATAACAGTACATGAAAATTAATCAATATGTGTAATTAATTACTGTTCCCTCTCTATTATGTCTATTTAACTACACGGAGAATGGTGGACTGCAATGCATTTTACTAAACACGGGCGGCTGAATATTAGCAACCGCGCTGTTGTGGGTTTGTAACACAAAACGGCAATTTGTGAACAAATAATAGTTCTCAACAATTCCTCGCAGAATTAATCTGTTTCTCTCTAGTCATAAGATTACAAGAAGACCAGACAAAACGCAATATTGTGCTATTAATCTTTTAACCAAATATTAATTGAAGATGTTCTCCATACATGAGGACGGATGACCGGTCTAGATATTGTAGGCACGTAGCTACCTTTGCATGAAGGATCACGGGTTCGAATCCTGCCCCGGGCATGGGTGTTTGTCTCCGTATGCGTGTTCCGGTACCTTAACGCTCAAAGTTATCAAACCAATGTTAAATTACAGTGGTTCGTATATGAAAATAGCAGTTGCAAAAGGACCTTGAAATTCAGTTTAAAATAGATGAATGGTAAGTATATACACTTCTGTTAGCTAAATACATTGATTGGATAATAAATTCTATAATACGAGATTGTAAAACGAAAATTGTAATATGTGTAATACTTATGCTTGTGTTGACCGTGAAGTACAGAAGCAATCTTAAATGTACAATTAAAAAAGGGGAAAAAGTGGACTGTAAAACGTCCCAAACTACGTTTTCAAAACTGTGTTTAACTGCTCTAGTAGTAATCAAACGCACTCGAAGTTTTGCACTCTTTCATTCAGGATCAGTTTCAGGCGTATTTGCTAGCTAGTTGTGTTAATAGACGTGTACAGATTTGAAACTTCATTTCTTAGGAATCATAGGATAATTTGTGCTCCTTTAATTATCAATCTTTCACTGTTGGTTCCTTTAAGGGCGTACTTTATTATTTATTGATACTATACGGCTTTTTACTAAGATTCCTTTACATATCGACGAATGAACAAGCAAACATATCAATTACAAAAATGCAAATTGTAGAGGT